AATCTTGCCAGCAGGGACCAGGGCTATACAGGAAACAAGACTCGTAGCAGAAGCTCCAGCGGGAGGGGCAAGGCTGTGGAGCAGGGCGCCCACGCCCGACACTGTACCCCATGATTGCTGATTCCAGCACCCCACTCAATAAGACCACCTAATGAACTAATGACCCTGCCACTTCTTCCTCTCCACCCCTTCCCTGTTTTTGCTGTGTTCAAGCTTAAATACTGACCCTTGTTAATGCTCGGCGCGCCTCTTGCACCTTGCATAGGGACCGCCGCTGGGTACCAGCTAAAATAAAGTGCTTCTTTTAACTTTTGGACTTGCCTCATTGTCATCTGATTTTTGAGCTACAACAGTTCCCAACTTGCACTTGCCTGGCCCCAGTGTGTCTTAATCTGCCAATTTCACCTATATAATGAATGAGAACTAGTGTCATGGGGTAATTTTTTATTTTATATTTATCGTATTATTATGAGTGGTGTTAAACATCTTTTTGTGAGTTCAAATGCCATTTGTGTAATTCCAGTGAGAAGTCATTTTTCACGCTATTTTCTCATATCCCTAAGTTTTTTATCTTCTATCCTTGTTTTTCCAAAGTCCTTCACATATTTAGGACCCTATAATTATCATAGAAAGCATTACTTTGTCATGTAGGCTGGAATTTTTTTTAACTTTTTGAAAATTGATCTTTCTGACCTTACTCATGGTTGTTTTATGTTGTGTGATTATAATTTACATTTTTTTAGCTGAAGTATAAATCTGTTTTCTTGGCTCATGAGTTTGAATTACAATTATTTTACATTGAAAGGAATATTTAAGTGATGAAAGGAAAATTAAGGTGGTGAAAACTAAGGTTGTGAATAAAATAAAATCAATTGTTTTCTTACAAGCACTAAAAAAATTAAAGTCCTAAATGGTTGTTTTAATCACATAAATTTCTTTGTGATCAATATTTGGAAAAGATAGTTTTTTTCTGAAGAGTGCTAACCTTAGTTTCCCTCAGTCAGCATAATGAGTATGCAGGCAGCATGTAGCCAACCACCATCCAGAGTAAAAGCAAAATACCAACATTTCTTCTTGATTCTGCTTTATATCTTCTACTTGGATTTATTTCTACAATCTGTTTTCAAATATTTGGCTTAATGAGGCATGTAAATTTAAGAAATTTTATAAGCAAATATGTTGTAGTTTAGAAATTGATTCAAGTTCAGGCTCCTCATTTTGTCCTTGTCTCTATTCCTTTAGTTTACTTCTGAACTGGTAAAGGAAAAACAAGCAGAGGAGTTACATTAAATGACTACATATTCTTCAAATGTTAAATTATGTAGTTTTCCTTCTAAGCAAAATGATATAATTTTGTGATGTATTTAAACCACACAAATTAACTCCAAAATTTTGTTATTGGGGATTCTGTTTAGGGTCCCTCAAAATCTGTCTTTTCTCCTTTAGGAAACTCCAGTGTTGGTGCTTGTACTGCCGTATGTGTAAACATTCAATGTGCAAGGATTATTCTCTAGCTAACAATAGGAGAAATAGTAATGCAAGGAGTTATACTGTACAGTACATTTAGTTGATATGTTGTTTTTATTGGGGGAAATGTAGACTACAAATCTATAAAGAGATATACTTGTGGTTATGTCATTTGTATATGGGGAGATTTTGCCATTAATTTCTGGCCTATAATAGACACATCTGAGAGTTGTGTTGCATTAAGCATCTTCAAAATAGAAAATTTCATTATTCTGCTATTTCTAGTTGTCCTTAAGCAGCTTTTCTTTGTACACTTCTGTCATTCATGCTATCTTCCCTGACTCAACAGACATTCTTCATAAGCTCATACTTTTAATACCATTCTTCACTAAAACTCTTGCCTTCATTTCCCTAAGAAGGCCACAGAAATACCTGGATAATGGGCACAGATTATCACACACCAAAACAGCTTGGATCTTGCTTATAGCAGTTTACTTCTTGCTTACAAATAGTTAGTATAGTCCACTAAATTTGCTGAGATAAAGTACTATGCTCTCGACAACTTCGTGGGATAAAATTTATTTATCACAAATTTGGGGAGTGCTGTCAACTGTCCTCAGCAGTGGTTTCTTGCGATGTCCACATAATGGAAAATACAAGGTAACTGTCTGGAGCCTCTTATAGAAGGCAATTGACATATGAGTACTGATGAAGTCTCTGAGTTTATGGCTTAATCACCCCCAAAGGGCCTCCCTCCTCCTCTTATTACCTTGAAGATGCGGATTACAGCATACAAATTTGACAAGGACAGAAACATTTAGACCACAAAAACTGAATAGTTTTTGTAGAACTACCTTTTCTAAGTGATGTGCCTAGGCAGGCTTGGTAGTTCTGTCTTAGAGTGTTTGAGTGTGTCTATGTGGCCACCTGAAGTCAGGGATAGAGTACATAGTAGAATCTCTGCAGGGTGTATTCTAGAATCCCATGATGAAGTCTCTGGGTTACTTTCAAGAGTGAGAGGTGGTCTTCTTCCCAAAAAACTGTAAAGATAAACCATTGCCATCAGTTTATTTCCTTAGAGGTAGTGAATCAACACAACAGTTAGCATGTTTGTCAATTTGATTGACTTTGAAGAAGTTCAGGGGATTGCCAAAGCTGACTTCTGGGTGTCTCTGTGTTGGTCATGATCCTGGCACTTATATCTGCTCCTCACCTCTTCCTCTCTGTCATTGTTCACCTGCTCTGCTTTCCACCTGTCATGAACTCAGCATCTTTGTTCTACAACCCTCCTGCCCTGATGTTTCTTCTTTGAAACCAACATACAGCAAACTGCATCCTTTGAAGCCATAAGCCAGATGAAGCACCTCCTCCTTTCAGTTGGGAGGATCATGTATTGTATGTCAGGGATGGGAAAGTGACCAATCCAGGCCAGCAATCCTTCTGTTTCTTAGACAGAATTTTAGGGGTGCTTTTCTTCTACTGTAAGACACTTCATGGTCATTCTGACAACTGGTTCAAAATTATTCTTCTTTTTATATTAATCTATGCTCAGCATTAATCTTTCAGAAATGCCTAATAGTGAAAATTTTAGACAATAGTATTTAGGTGAATTTCCTTTATTACTGTACTAACTATCAAAGGACAACTTCCTATAATCTCACCAAATCACATAGTAGTAGAAAAACCATTTGAATAGATGAGGCCCAGTGCACTTTAAGTCCATAGCAATGGACTACACTCACATGCCTATGCTTTCCTTACTCTTCTAAAGAAATAAATTTATAAATCTTCAAATGTGTCTATATTAAACTTTGTCAACTTAAGCACATGATTTTCTTTGCTGTTGTCCACATATTTCCAATACAAAAGACCACAAGCTGAGAAATTTTCAATTTTAGCTTGGTTATCCATTAACTCTGCATTTTGTGTACCTGAAAGGTCAAGAATAGAAGATCTAAGATTAATCAAAAGTGACCTGGTTTTCAGTAAAACCAGATTTGTGGAAATCATATATTTGAAAGGTTATTTCTTATTTTAACTTAGGTTTTATGTATGCATAGTTTTGGATATGCATACCCATGAATATCTAACACATCTATATGTATCTATATTGAGATATGGCTTTATGAAAGAGATTTAAAATCTAGGAATATGGTTTCCTAGTAACAAGAATCACATATAAATTCTTTAAGAAACTCCCCTCTACTATCATCTGCCTCCAGCTTATTAACAAGGTGAGAGCTTTTCAGAAGTGGCTTCTTAGTCTGAACAAAAATTCTAACAATCAAACTAATGGTGCAATTGTACCCTAGAAGACAAAGATGTCAAATAGACACACCAGTGGCTGACTCAGTACCACGAAACAGGCCCAAGAAAGAGGACTCCCATGGCAGGCACCACTAATACAGTATTTATCATAAACAACTAAAATAGTGTATGTTGCATCAGATGAGTGATATATGCAATGCTAGAGGCTTCAAAAGAACAATTTAATTTTAAAATAAGATCAAATAAGTAAGACTTGTAGATAAAATATTGAACCTTACATATCTTCTATTTTTTTCCTAGAGAATAAATAGCACTTTAACTGTAAGTTATTGAGAAAAGATATAGCATATATATATATATATATATATATATATATATATATAGGCTTGTTCTTTAGACTGTATGTGCAATGATGTAGACTAAGAGACAGATTTTAGTCTGACATTTGCTATAACATTTCATTTTATTTTTTCTACAAAATTTGTCCTTCTCAAGTGAAAATGAATTATTCCATTAAAACTCATGTAATAAAAAAATAACAAACATATATAATAAAACAGTGAAGAATAATTTATTTTCTTAATGTATCACATATGTGTGATACAGAGTAACAATTAGCAGATTTATGATAACAAATTCTTATGCAAGCTATGCCAATTAATATGATTTTTTTTTCACATAGCTTAACTCATCCCAAATTTTATTTTCTTTTTTATTATTTTCAAAGGAATCAGATTCAGACTAAGGTATGTAAAATATCCTGTATTACCCTGTATTGCATCAATGGTAACAGAAAATATGTTTTATTTCTACCAAGAGTAGTACTGAGATACACATCAAGGTGAAAAAGGACCAATCAGCAGGATTGCCCTGGATTACTCAAAACTAGGAGTCATACCATGTGTTTACCACAACCCTTTTGGGATTCTACTTATTCTATCAAAATGGAAAGATTCTGACAGAGTACTTAAAAATGGGGTTCATTAAATTAAACTAGTCAGAGGTGAGTTTTGCTTGTAGAGTGTAAAGTGTTTTGTAACTGTAAGGATTCTTAGGAATCACTCTTTAGTAAAAATGCAGGTCCTTTCCTAAGAATTTTATTGTTGCTGCAAGTGATCAAATATATGTAAGCAATTTGAATTACAGAATTAAAATGCAGGATGATATCAGTGAACTCTAGAAAACATGCTAGCAACTTAAATAAATAATTGGATAAACACAACTTGAAATTCTTGATTGCCACCTTGCTCATTGCTCAATGATTGATATAGCACTTTAATATAATGACATCTCATTTCTGAAGTTCTTATTCATTTGTTGTGTCAACATTTGCATAATTAAGAAGTACTTTGCATTTAAATGAATTTAATTTTATAGCTCAACTGCTGAAAGCAACTAAGGAACCTAAGGGAAAAATCTGAAATATAATGACTTAAGGAAACTCAGGGATGACAACAATCAACATACACCTGAGGAAGTTAAAGCTTGAAAGAATAAACACATTCCTTGTAAAATATCTATGTGGTTTTCACCAGAGTGAAGTCCCAAATCCAGTGACATGCCCTCCGCACA